GAAAAACAATAAAACCAAATAGTAGCAATCTGTATGTACCCTTCAACTGGCTGCTTTCTTGATAGCCTGAGATATGAACATGTCTTTGTCCTGCACTAAGTTGAAAGCTTCTGGATGGTCACGACTGACTCATTCCTTTCATGAAGAAGAAAGCACTATCATTTGTTTGGTGAATGGTGGGTGAGTGGAAGGGTGACCAGTTCCCTGTAATGTAAAAAGGAAAGGGCAAACTGCAAGACTTGCCTCAACAAAATTTCCAATCCTAACACCACCAATCACTTCTGCACACCTACCAAAATCACGCTGGGCTCTAGTCAGTTTTGAAGGGAGCTCCAGAATCTGAAACGACAATCAGCTCCTAGAGCCAACCCCATGATCATCAAAGGAGCTTTTTTACTTCCCCAGAGCCTTGGGATTACTAAATTGGAAGTACAGATGGGCAAAAACTGAAGAGAGCTTTAACTGATACTACAGCAACGTCAACAGTGATGCCTACATCAGAGTAGAGAGGTGATATGATGTCCACATGAAACAAAATAAGGACAAGGAGAGTGAGGGAGCAGAAGTGAAAAGTCTGTTTTGAGATTGTGTTCACTTCACCGAATGCATTCCAAAGGGCTGGAGTGTGGTACCCACCAGCTGTTCCACCCCAAACATGAACAGCTAAGCCATGCCTCCGACAGCCTCATTATCAGTTACTGATTCCTCCTTGTTGTATAACTCACTATTTCTCATGGGATTTTAATTTTTTAGGCCTCATTCAATCCCAGAGAATCCCTAAAAATTAGCAATTTTATTTACATTAGGATATTATGATAACATGAAGAATGGAAATAAGAATTAAATAGGTAGTGAAACACAATGTTAACTTACAAAATGATAGCACTTTAGATGTTCGACCTTGTTTTCATTCAGGTATCTATTTGTTATTTATGTGTACTTTAGGGAGCAGAGAGGTAGAAAACTAAAGATAAAATCCAAGTCCCAGGTTCCACTCATTCTCAAATTGAACAAAAAATAGGATGGGAAGCTTTTCCCCTAAATCGTAATCCTGACAGATTACTTGTAAACTCACTCTGAGATACACCAACAACATATTTTGTACTTGCTGCTGGGCAAGTCACTAAGATCTCTGGACCTGTTTCACCAAACACAAACACCACAGAAGGTGGTGGCGTAGGTCTTCGTGATTTCTAAGACTCCTATTAAATCTAAAACAGTCTAATTCTACTACAACATCCAAGGAACAAAGATTACATTGAACTGGCTACAATACAAATATATCTATAAGAAGCAAAGTGGAAGGTGTAGCCCTCAGCTGTTTGCCATAGACCTTTCTCATTTCTCAGCAAGGATCACACTCGCTCACTTCTGAACAGATGACAACCTACTCTACTCCTGTTACCACTACACCTTTATTTTAAATTTATTCTATTCACTTCTTTCTACCCCAAAACCACCTCACAGCAATACTCATTCCACCCTCACTTTCCTAATAAGTTAATATAAAAACTGTTTTTGAATTCACTTTCTGTGACCCACTGGTGCCTATGCTGAAAGATGGACTAATCCAACAGCCCAGTCTTACCATGATCACTGAAGACACAACAGTCCTCAGTGAGTGCCTACCTGAGCATGACTCTCTTAAGTTAAAGAGACCCAGTCCTGATTCCCTTACAGTTTACCACCTAAACTAGAAAATATAACCAGGGCCAAGATACTGAAGGTAATAAACACTAAGCAAGCTAATGAGAAGGAAAATGTATAACAACTGATCTACTTTGACAACTGAGGAAGTTTCTTATTAAACACAAAATCTAATTTTTGCAGTTATCTCCCATTATTGCTTTCTTTGATGATTACTGGTTTTTCTTTTTCTGTTGTTTTATTGTTTGTTTGTTTTTTGAGATGGAGTCTGGCTCTTGTCACCCAGGCTGGAGTGCAATGGTACAGTCTTGGCTCGTTGCAACCTCTGCCTCCGTGTTCAAGCAATCCTCCTGCCTCAGCCTCCTGAGTAGCTAGGATTACAGGCAGCCGCCACCATGCCTGGCGAATTTTTGTACTTTAATAGAGACAGGGTTTTGCCAAGTTGGCCAGGCTGGTCTCAAACTCCTGACCTCAGGTGATCCACCTGCCTCCCAAAGTGCTGGGATTACAGGCATGAGCCACTGCACCCAGCCTGTTTTTTAAAGAGTATAATCAAACTAAAAAACATTACAAAAAGAAATAAGTAAATAAAATAATTA